TATCATTTCTATAGCGCCTCTCAAGATAAAAATCACGAGGCGCTTAAGCATAATTCTGCGCACACGAAGACGCATAAGAGACCTGGATGATGAAGCTCAATGGTTAAAGGAATCACAGAAGCGGTGTGAAGCGCTCCGTCGCGCGTCTAGACGGTACCGTAGGAGGCGAGCTGCCGTGGTTCGCCGCATGATACAGCAGCGGGCTAACTAGGTGCACACAGCGTCCCCCGGTCCCCTCCCCCTCCCTCTTGTCCGGAACTTTACCTCACCAGTCTGAATCAGCCACCCTGTCCATAACAAGTCCGGACCTGTTACTAGGGGCTTCGTCCGGATAAATTCCGGAACACGTTATCCGGATGTTTGTATTCAGACAGAAAGGTCTTACGGACAGATTCCGGAACATTTCCATTTTTCATGGCCTGTCTGAAGGGGGCTTGGGTGTCATCCTTGGCACCACTCTTTCATTTCAATCCCACATCATTAACATCACTCGGTCTGCCTACTTTCACCTGCGCAATATTAATCGCCTTCGCCCCTCTCTCACCCCCCACTCTGCTTCCATACTTGTTCACAGCCTTGTCACCTCAAGAATCGACTACTGCAATTCACTCCTATCTGGTTTACCACAAAAGTGCATCTATAAGCTCCAACTGGTCCAGAATTCTGCTGCACGCATCATTTCTAAAACCCCTATGAGTCACACCATATCAGGCCTGTCCTGCAACAGCTTCACTGGCTTCCTGTTAGACAACGCATAGATTTCAAAATCCTTCTCCTCACATTTAAAGCTATCCATAACCTTTCTCCACCATACCTGTCTGACCTCATTCACATTATCTCTCCCATCCGTTCCCTCAGACCATCATCCTCTATCACTCTCTCTGTCTCACCTTTCCGTCTCAGTACTATGGGGAGCAGAGCCTTCAGCAGCTCTTCTCCCCGTCTCTGGAATTCTCTCCCTCAAGCCATCTGTAACTGACTAGCTCTCTTCCTTTAAATCTAGACTCAAAACCCACCTGTTTCAGACTGCATACTGCTAGTGTCACCCTTTCCATCTTTATTGATTTCATCATGTATTTTTAGGCTTCTGTGTGTGATTTTTGCTGTTTTTAACTTGGCTTCTTTGCTGTTTTTTTATTGCTGTAAAGTGTCCTTGTGTCCCTTGAAAGACACTTTTAAATAAAATGGATTATTATTATTATTATTATTACATCACCTTGTTGTTCACCAGCTTCATTGGTTACCAATAAAGTTCAGGGTCAACTACAAATTTTATGTCCTTACATATTGACTCTTTGCACGTGACGTCACGCCACTCATGAGACCGCCGCCTTCGCCATGATGGACGGCAAAAAGACCGTTTGCACCCAAACTCCAGTGAAGGTGGTCAAAACAAGCCAGTTTGTAGCCTTTTATCTCTTTTATTTAGTTGATTTGACAGTAAAATGGTTTTAGCTTGCTGCGTGGTCGGCTGCACTAACAGACAAGGACGTAAACTCAACTCGTTTAGTTTTTTTAATAACTTTGATGGAGACTGAGGACGGAGATGAACTGCAGCGATGAATCAAGCGGACTAGCAGCCCTCAGATTAGCAGCGAACATGTTTTTACCGGGTAAGATTAACGTTCATTTATTTCACGAGGAAGACGGGGACAGGGATAAATGTGATGTGTTTATACTAGTTATTGATAATCCTGATGGATATTACACCACGGAGGCTGCGCTCCGTCCACTGTAGAGTAAAGCGAGACAATTATTAACAATATTAAAGCTCCGATGTATGATTACGTGTGTTAAAATGACGTTATTTACAGTGTTGCCAACTTAGCGACTTTGTCACCATTTCTAACGACTTTTCAGACCCCCTTAATGACTTTTTTTCAAAAAAGCGCCTAGCGACAAATCTGGCGACATTTCTGACCCCCCTCAGCTACTTTGACTGCAACTTTGGAGCAGATTTTACCTGCAGATTAGCGATGCATCTGAAGCGACAGGACCATCCTTCCTTCCGGAGGATCAGAAAGAAAATGATCTGCGCATGTGTGTGCAGCATGATCACACTACCCCCATTGACCAATCAAACCTTTTGTGGGTTTTCACAAGTCCATTATATGAGATAGCCACCGGAGCTACATAAAGGGCGACCGCTCCTTGCTCCATCCTGCCGCATTTCGGCAGATGAGTCGGCTGGCACTGGCAGGCAGTGTTGCATTCACACATGGCTTCTCGCACCACCTGTGGTGCGTTCAAGGAACATTGGAACTCTATGATGAGTTCAAAACCGTAGCACATTTAAAACTTTTATGAAAAACAGAATAATACCGTAAGACAAACACCTCAGGTCATTGGCAGTTTGCATGTAACATTTCTGAATACTAAATACGGCCTGCTTCTTTTTACACAAAAGTACTAAAAACAACAAAAACAAACAAAAACAAAAAATATGTATATTATCTTTTAGGTCAATATATAGCACTGAACAGAAGAATACATTTCAAGGCACTTGAAAACTACAAGAGAAAATTCATTTTAAGTCAATCATACATACATTCCTATCAATTTAATATTTTTGTGTTTAAGAGTTCCATTCTCTTCAGACAAAATAGAAATATTCCTTCCATTTTTTTGTGCCATCTTTCCTTGATGTTTTAAAGGCTGCTGTTTTGTATTCTGTGGGGGTTTAAAATATTAAAAAATAAATTAAATAGTTTTTCTAATAAAATCACGTGGGTTTTATTTGAATTACTCTACAAGACCGGTGATGGCATGACACAAACTTGGTGACGTCATCACACTAGCCAGATGATGTCATTGCATCGTATGCAAATTAGCACGTGACGTCATCTGGCGACACCTAGCGACGTTTGGGGGGAACTTCAGCTACTTTCAGTCAAAAACAGTTGGCAACACTGGTTATTTATTTATATGAGCGTCGGCGTTCAGAGATCTTCTCATTCCGGTGTGAGAGCAGCAGCTGAACCCGGTAACCCCACCAGCAACAGAAGCTGGTAGGGATCCGGACTTTTAACAATCAGCTTTGGTGTAAAGTGAAACGCTGTTTACAACATAAAGTTATAAATCCAGAGGGGTGAATTTAGGCAAAGTCAGCAGCATGTTTACATCGGTGAACAGCTGCAGAGAGAAGTAAGCTAACGTTGGTAAGCTAGTTAGCATACCGCTCTCTATGAGCCCCCGCTAGATGCGCTACTTCTTCTGATAACTGAACTGGGCATGAACTAGTTGAAGGAAGTTGGAGGAGTTTTGTTTTTGTTTTGATCGCAAAAACAGTTTCAGGCTCTACTTTGTTTAGTAATCGTGTTGCTCACTGTTTACATGCTTTTGCCGTCCACCATGGTGGACCCACGTGATTAGGTGACGTCAGTGCAAAGGGTCAATAAGGCCATTCATAATCTTGCCTCCCCATATCTCTCACGGCTCCTGCAAGTCACTAAACCCTCTCACATGCTCAGATTCTCTTTTTCCATCAACTTAACGAATCCACCTACACGCCTTGTCACAATAGGATGACGGGATCAGATCGGCACCTTCCCTATGGACCTATCTACAAGGTTGGTTTATGCTTGACGCGTCCGCGAGGTCCGCACGGCTCCGCGCGGAAAAGTTGCGTCATTTTGCGTCATTTTAACAACCATGCCCCTCCACCGCGCCACCGCACGGCCCAGAATTTCCGCAACGCGCACCTCGGAAAATTTCTAACCACGCGGACGGACGGACGCGGAAAAACATGGCGGACCGGCAAGAAATAGTACGGCAGAGGTTCGTAAATACAGACATTTGTATGATTCAGCTCTCAGAGATCACCGTGATCAACATGTTGTTAATAATTCTTGGAGAGAAATAGCTCGCACTGTCGGAAAAGACGAGAACGCTGTTAAAAATTCTGAAATACCATGTTGTAAACAGTAATTTCTACTTCTACTATGGTGTAGTGATGGATGCATGCCGTAGAGCTCCATGCTGCCCCGTTCAGTTTGGGAGAATATTGACTCACCGCAGAGACGAGCCGCACAAACCATAAACGCTGCGAGTTGTGAAGCGCGTTCCATCCACGAGCCGCATCACCGCGCGGAAAGTGAATGCGTCAAGCATAAACCAAGCTTTATGAACATGACTAGCCTTCACCAACAAACTCATCTGTTCAGGATTGCTCATTTACTGTAACTGTTATTGGTGTTTTATCTGATGTCTTTTTTGGGTTTTAAATTTCCTAGTCATTCAATGTTTTTGTTATTTTTTTAACCTGATTGTACAGTGACCTTTAGTTTTATGAAAGTTGCTCCAAATAAAATGTATTATTATTATTATTTTTTTAATTATTATTTCTAAGAAAGCCTAATTTTTAGACAGGTTATCCTATTTTTAGTTTATGAAGAAAATAAATTCTCCCCTAAAAATAGCATAAATTAAAATTAGATAAATATTCTTAAATATGATCCAGAGTTTCTTGCCAATGGCATAAGCAAAAGCTTATTGGCTAGAATTTTAAAAACTAGCAAAATAATCTAAATTTAGATTCTTTCAGTGTAAAAATGGCTTTAAAAAACTCTTAGAAATCAGATTTTGCCGAGTTTGGGGATTGCAGCAAAGTCACTGACACAAAGTTAAAGTCCCATTAGGTGTCACACACACTGCTGTGTGTGCGAAATGTGTTCTCCGCATTTGACCCATCCCCTGGGGGAGCGGTGAGCTGCAGACACAGCCGCGCTCGGGGACCATTTGGTGGTTTAACCCCCCAATCCAACCCCTTAATCCTGAGTGTCAAGCAGGGAGGCATTGGGTCCCATTTTTTCAAAGTCTTGAAAGTCAATGACTCCATGCAGTCTGCTGGGTTTCTTTACATAGGAAACTTTAAACTAATTGAGACAACTCTTGTTGTGATTTGGTGCTATATAAATAAATGGAATTGAATTGAATGAAACTCCTTATGTTTAAAGAAAATTCACAAGTTTTTTTACTCCGCATATGTTGCGATTCTCCAGGTCTCTGCTCAACAGAAAGTGCAAATGTTTTGACAAAGCCATCATCACCCAGAATAACACTCCACTGGGATCAAAGCTTGTGTATGACGGTGAAAGGAAAAGGACCCTCCAGGTGAACCAAGAGATTTTCAACACATTTCCAAAAGTGAGTTGTTTTCTTTTTATGAGTGCTAACATGTTAGCATTTTTTAGGGATGCCAGCAAATCAGCACTAAGCACCCATCTTCCTATCCCAACCTCCATTGACAACAACGGGATTTTGGTAAACGGGTGAGAAAGCCCAGCACCCTTTTGATTTCTATTGACCATTTACACCCACGTCACCTGATCACGTGGGTCTGCCACGAAAGTCTTCGGAGCAAATCTGCAATTTCTTTTGAAGCTGTCAGCCCTTTTGACTGATAGCTGCTATCCATTATCACCTGCTTTCTTCAATAAAAGTTATATGGAGGCATGTTGGTTTTTACCTTTGTCTGTTAGTGCAGAAATAAACAAAATCAAATGGATATAAGGCTACAAACTAGCTTGTTTTTCAGTTTCAATGCACGCAAATAGTTCATTTAGCATCCGTCTTGGTGAAAAAGACATTTCTATGAGGAGCATGAGGACCCTGCAAAGGGTTAGCTCAGGTGGACTCCACAGTAGAAAAATCATTCAGAGTTGAAATGAGACACCAAAAGTTTGACTTTACATGACTGACCTGGTGTTTTGATGCATTTATGTTTTGAGTTGTTCTTTTGTTCCACTGAATGTTCATCTGACAGTTGATGAACATTTCCACATCAGAATGTAGTCTTTTTTTTTTACCTGGTTTGTTTCTCACTCTTAAAGGACTGATTGTTTTCTCTAAAACCGCTCTCAGCACACTCAAACTCCCATAGCCTTCAGTTTTATCATAGCTCAAAATATTCTCTCAGAAATGAATAATTATGTTTTTTAAGTTGCACCTTCTGCACTGTAACTGCTCAGTCGAACTTTGCTGTTGTATCTTATTTGCACAACTAATTTCATCTTTGTATTTTAATTCTGACTTTAAAATCTGCAGTTTTATGTTGTCACATTGATTTCAATGTTCTTGCTGCTTTGTTCCTGGAAAGCACATTGAATTGTCTCTGTGTCTGAAATCTGCTATACTAGTAAAGCTGCCCAGATATCAAAGCTCTTTAGGAGCATAAAAATCCATACAAGAGTCTATCAGAGCTTCGCCAGCTCACAGTTCAGGTTATTCGATTCCAACTTTTAGTTTGTGCACAAATGTTATATTATGTTTACTTTTTAGTTGGCATTCTTCTCTGCCTCTTGTGACCTTTAGAAGTGGCTCAAGACAGCAGTTTGTTATTCCTCACTGTTAAACATCAGTTAGCAGCAATATTTAAAAGCAGATAAAACTGGTTGACTCAAAGCAGAAGTTTGCTTGAGCGCCATTATCCTGCAGGTCTTGGGTGTTTTTCTGCTCCAGCACTCACTATTTAAATGAATAGAGGAATAACGGCTTCATGCAAAACTTGAGCACATCCTGAAAGTTGATTCAACCATTAAATCAAGTGTGCTGAGGCAGAAAAGCAAAGCATGCTGGATAGTGGCCCTTGAGGAGCAAAACACTACAGGACTCCACTGTTTTATGCAGGATCTGCAGTGGGTAAATAATTTAACATATGATGCAAAAAGGCTAAATCTGATTTCACAAATTTCATCTTAGGGGTGTATTTTTTTTATCGGGACAGCATACAGCTCAGAGGCACCAAAGTCTGCTTCTCCTCATAGATCAAAACCAGACTAATAAAGTCTGCTTTATTTCAAATATTTGCTAAAAGTGACCCTAAAATTGAACCTAATTTTTGCCTGAACCTAAAAGACACAGGAACACCTAATTCAGCTTCACGGGGATGGGGGGCAAAAATAAAGCCTTGAAATATAAACAACTTCTCTTTGCTGTCTATGCAAAAACCCTACACAACATTTTCAGATTTTTTCTAAATCTGCTACATTTTGTTAGAAGTTGGACGGTCTGAAATGTACCTTAAACTTTAAAAGTGTCTTGAGGAGGTGAGATGATTAAAACAAACAACTGAGTGGCGTGTGTGATGATGACCCTGGGAATGAAAAAGTCATACCGCTGGTCGGGGTGATGAGTAAACAGAAATTATGTTTACAATAAAAACCAGGAGATGTTTAACCAGCAACATCGGGGCACCAAAGCTAAAACATAAACCTGATTTAATCAGCCCAATCACTTACCCCATTTAACCTTTCAGTTCTGGAATGCCAACGTCCTCAGTCCAGTCAGACAACACCAAACAGACCGAGCTAATGTAGCACTTTCCGGATTGTTGCTAGATTCACGAACTGACGTCACAGCTAATCAGCTGTAGTGTTGGAGTTGGACCTCCAGTATAGAAACCAATATGGTTACTAGATATTATGAGTTTGACTTTTCCTGACTTCTTTGGAGAGATTTGGATTTTTAATATGTGATAAAATAATCACTTGGGGTTTAGTGTGTGTTTTTTTTTTCAATCTGAATGTAAAAGTGCAATAACAGGAATGCACCGCATTTTAAACGTATTTGTAAAAGCAACAACGCCTGACACTCGTCACTAGAAGAAACGAGTTTGTTTTTCCTGACATGCCTGATCTATTTTTGTTAAGGAAACCATACACATCATTCCCCGTTACTTTACCATCAGCTGGCAGGAGACTGTAAATGCTAAATGCATGCCGCAAAAAGCCCTAATCGTTAGCAGTCCCATGCATTTTGGTTTTCCTTTTTTTTTTAAAACACTTGATTTAAATGTGAGAGAGATGCATAATCAGGGGCAAATGGAACAAAAAACATGTACCTGCAAAAAAGATGCAATGCATTGGTGAATTAGAGCCTGAGTTAGAAAAATCTAAGTTTGAGTTATTTTGTGAGTTGCCATAGTAACTAAATCAGTCCCACAACAAAACAAAACTAAATCATGATAAACTTTCACACTGAGGGGAAGAAAAAACTTCCACAAAAAATTTCACTTCTTTTTTTAACTGTACAGAATCATTTAATGGTCTGTTTACTTCCCTTCTCTCATGATGCAGATCCACCCACATTAACAAAGCAGAACAGATACTGTGTTTCTAAATCATTGTTGTTTTTCCTCTTGTTTTTATTGACTCCAGGGACATCCTTTCTCCAATAAAACACTGCACACGTGTGCTGTTGTTGGAAACGGTGGGATCCTGGCAAACAGCAGCTGTGGGAAAACGATCGATTCAGCTGAATTTGTTATCAGGTGAGAAACTTGTTCAGTGGAAATAATCAAACTCCTCCTTTAAAGGAATGATATAAAACAAATCTGCGTTGGCGTCATCTGTCCAGGTGTAACCTCCCACCTTTATCTAACGGATACGAAAAACATGTTGGCATCAAGACACACCTTGTGACAGCAAACCCAAGCATCCTCATGGAAAAGTGAGAAGAGAAAATGACCTTTGACACCATTTCTATTGTGGCTTTTCTTCATATCTGGTTTATGTGTGCAGGTATGCAGCTCTAATGGCACGAAGACGTCCTTTTGTGGAGAATCTGCGAAGCTACGGTGATTCCATGCTGCTCCTTCCTGCCTTCTCGTATGGCCGTAACACTCCTGTATCTCTCCGTGCGTTTTACACCTTAGAGGACTTTGAAAGTCCCATTCAATCCATCTTCTTCAACCCAGCGTACCTCCGGAATCTGGCCGCCTTCTGGCGCTCTCAGGGCCTAAAGGCGGTCCGGCTCAGCACTGGCATCATCATGACAAGCCTGGCACTGGAAATTTGTGAAAATGTGCATCTGTATGGATTTTGGCCCTTTGGTGTTCACCCATACAGCTCACAAGACCTGACCAACCACTATTATGACGACAGGAAAACTAAAATCAAGTTCCATGCCATGCCAGATGAGTTTAATCTCTTGTTGAACCTTCACAGCCAAGGTGTACTCAAGATGCACCTGGGAGACTGTGAACCAGATGAAAAACGGTTTCATAGGTCAGACTGAATTCTGTTGTTCTGAATGTTTTATTTTTTAATGGACTGCATGATGAAACAGACTACTTCCTCCCAATTCCGCATCAGCAGCCACAAACTTTGCACTGAAATCAAAAAGCTACAGTCAGAAGATATTGAACATCTTGTAAACATTCATGCATTGTGTCTGCAACTCTATTTATTACCATAAATGCTCCAGCTTGTGTCTGGAATAATGTTTTTCTTGCTTTTAAGATGAAATTTACATTTAACTTCCTTCACACTAGATTAATACCTTGCTACTCACTCATGACCTCCTACAAAGTGGCTGGATCCCATTAAATAAACCTCCTGTAGTGTGAGGTCAACACACAAAACAGTGTCTTCCTCTGTTTCCCCATGTCCCGAAACACCGTCATCATACAGCAGCAAGGTTCCAGAAAGATCCTAACATCTACAAATGATGATCACTTCACATTTTTCTGCCACAACTCTCCTGGAATGTGTCAGGATGCAGCTGAGTGTTGCACACCCCGTCATGCCAGCGCAACACTGATGGGGGTCATAGTCTAGGAGCGAGGCCAGCACCATCAGTCCTGCTTCAATTCTAACACAACCAAGCCACAGTGGTGCACACAAGGCCAGATTAACCAAATGGGCAACTGGGCAATTGCCCAGGGCCCACAAACTCTAAAGGGCCCAGGGCAGCAAGGGCACGAGCAAATTACTGTATCTGTAATCTCCCGCTTTATATTAAACTAGTGTGACCGTACGTCCTGTTTTCCCCGGACATGTCCACTTTTCACTCTGTCCTGGATGTCCGGGTTCTTGTATTGATGAAAATGTCCGGCTTTTCATCCAGGAGCAGGGATGGGGAGCTGTATATCCTACACATCCAGGGGAGCCGGAAAAAAGTTTTCTACCTACAGTATATTACTATATTATCATTTATGGACTCTTTTCAGCAGAGAGCGGCAGAGCGATGATCGGTGCGCAACGCTCCAGGCTGCTGCGTCCAGCGCACGGTCCGTTCTCAAAGTGGCGCAACCCAAAAACTATAATTAACACACGATCGTTCATGTCCGCACATGTTCTCTACTTTCTGTCTTATTTGTGCCTGAAGCGCTCTGCCGCTGCGGAGCTCATCACCTGTGCTGCGGTGATTTCACCTCACTGACGCATCGAAACGCGCTCTCAGCTTTGTGGTCAGGAGATCCCTTTGATCTGCTCAAAAGTAACTGATGAGGTGAAAAAGTAAGAATCCAGGCAGCAGATTTTCTGGAGAGTTTAGAGGAGATGCAGGAAGATGAGAGACAGACAGAACAGGAAAATAGTTAAATAAAAACAAGAAAACAAAACAAAGTGTTGAAAAGTAAAATGTAGGTAGATTTATCTCCACTACACGTTTTTACCTGCAAAACAATAAGTTATACACATGTAATATTTATACATCTGATACAATTCAGATCACCTTCAAAACTCAGTCACACACCCAGAGCCGTTTCAAGACATTTTGGGGGCCAAGGCAAAATGACCCCCCCCCCCCCCCCCCCACCACCACCACCACCCCCATAGCTGGGCTCTGTGTAATCCATACCCTCTCCAGTAGTGTTAGTTATACAGTGTTTATAAAAGCCCCTCAGATATCACTGGCATGTTCTAATGTTATCAGATGAAAAACTAAATTATCAGACATGCTGTCTCATCTGCTTCTTTTCTAAACTTGCAAAAAGTAACAAAACCATTTGAAAGCCACTATTTGTGGATTCTCTGAAAGTTTCCAGTGTGACAACTTATTTTTTCATTGATCCTATCATCTAATCTCACAACTGAAACAAGCATCCTTAATAATCTGTGCAGAGGAAGCGTACCGATGCTGTAGCAAAACAAAAGTTATAATTTATTATTAATAAAACCTTGTTGCAGCACTAAAGCAGAAAAATGAGATTTTGCAGTAAATATGCTAAGTATTTATTGTTTTAGAGCCCTTTTATTGGCAGAATCTGATATTAATTTAGTTCTTACAAAAAAATGGGTCCCAGCGTTGTGTGGCGTTGCCATAGTGCGATGTCATAGGCACAGATCCCCTGTCCTCTTTTTGGAAATGGAAATATGATCACCCTATATTAAACAAACTGTCCACCCGGGCTTTTGCGCTGCACAGAGACTGTTCGCTGCCTATGACTTTGAACGTCAGTTGAGAGTCAGTCTCATGTAGAGAGGTCCTCAAGTTAAGACTCTCTCCTCATTGGTCAGTCCACACAAGGTGGGTCAAAGGTTACTCTGAGCGGGTTATGTGAAGTTAGGCATTCAAGTATTGATATATTTACTGCATATTACAGTAAAATATTCTGTATGTGACCATATTATGGCGATCCTTGGGTCGTGATGATGGGGCCCTTGAATATTGTTGCCCAGGATACAACGAAGTCTTAATCTGGCCCTGGTTAGCATACATATTTTTAGTAAATTTAAACTTGTTGCATGTTACGCTGAAACTACATGATTAAAAAATGTACAACTACAAAACATGATTTTATCTAATAGAAGCAACATTTTTGAGTTATGACAATTTAGCAGATACCTATGTTGCCTTTTTTGAGTGCACCATATTATGGTGATCCTTGGGTCGTGATGATGGGGCCCTTTAACATTGTTGCCCAGGTTACAACAAAGTGTTAATCTAGCCCTGGGTGCACACGTAGGGTACATGTCAGGACCAGCCAGAATCCTGATGAAACCACAGCCTTAAGCCACCAGGGCCTGCTGTTTTCTCAGAGTAGACCAGAAAACCTCACCAGGTCAACCACGTTCCAGCTAATTCTGTCTTGGTTTAGCTTTTATCCAGTGTGAAGGGGGCTTTGTTTGAGTCAGTTATTAAAACAGCTTTTTAAAGAGAACAAATGTATTTGGATGGAAAGAACAAACGGCCTTTAATTTCCTGGCTGGAAAACCAGCAGACTGAATTTAAAGACGTTTCAAGTAGGTGTGCCCTAAAACCAGAGCGTTTGATGGTTATTTCTGCAGCCTGCCTGATTGTGGGTTATGTCTTCCTTCTGTGGGTTGTACGGCAAAGCTTAGGAAATGATACAGTACTGTAGTGATGTGTCGGTCGCGAACGAACCGGCTCTAAGAGCCGGCTCTTTGAAGTGAACGACGGGAGCCGGCTCGTCATTGGGAGCTGTCCCCTCCCCTCCCCCTCCCCTCTTGCTTTGGTGAAAGCTACAGACGATTGGTCAACATGTGTAACTGCGTGTCCAGACTGTCCATACACAGAGCAGTAGAGGCAGGGAAGAGGGAGGATCAGACTCAGACACACAGCAGAGCACATGCGGGCGGAGGGAGACGAGAGAGAATGAGGAGGAAAAAGGCGAGCGAGAGGAGAGTGCGACGAAGACGGTGAGAAAATGAGCACCAGCAGTCGGAAAGTGGAGATTTCTTAAAGTGATCAGTTATTAAATCCATAGAAATGATAAATTTTTTATATGTAGCATATTTTTTTACATTAGTAAACCATTTTACATATAGTTTTGCATTATTTTGGTTATAAATGTACTCCACGCAACAGAAAATCTGAGGAGCCACTTGGGAGCCGAAAGAGCCGGCTCTTTTTGGTGAACCGGCTCTCTAAAATCAGGCAGAATTCCCAGTAAAATTCAGAAGGCATGAGTCTGATTTGCAGTATGACTTTGTTAGACTGAGATGAGCTCTTTAATGCCACAAAGTGGTGGCACGTGTAACGGTACCACGTCAGTGTCCAGCTGTTTGTGCAGAATAGAACAGAATAGAATATACTTTATTGATCCCACAGTGGGGAAATTCAATTGTTACCGCAGCAACAACACTTAGTTATAATCTATGCGAAGTGAAGTTACTGTGAAATGAGCTCACATGTGTGTGATATCTGCACTTTGGATGAACTCGAGATGTTTTCACTTCTGTGTGAGTTTTGACCTCTGCTGATACTTCAAGTATTAATGCTGATTTCTGTCATGCAGAAAATAACCTTCTACATGTAGATGACCAGCTTTACAACAAAGTGAACATTTCTATATTTTTATGTGAACAGCACAGCATGAAGAGAGAAAATAAAATAAGAATAAATATTTATCAGACAATAAGATCTGTATTACATTAACTTCTCGGACCAGGCAGTGAAAATGTTCTCACCAACTTCTCGGTCTGAAGGATTCAGTGTCGCTAAGCCTTTAATGGATCCAAAGTAACTCAAGATTTGAAAGAAAGTAGCCTTGATCTTAAAAATGGAGCACTCAGAAAGATTTTAGAGTGGATTTTGTTCTCCAACTAGAACATCACATTTTGAAAAGATTTATTTGTCTTCTTTTGCACAGGCTTGCTTTTTCCCATTGGTCAGCAGCTTTTCTGTTATTACTAATGAGATAGTGGAAAGTGGCACATGTGCAGGTCAGAACTGCCTTTATGATGACTTGTACCACGTGTATGAAACAGAACCAAGCACTATTATCATAGCAAAAATATCAAAAGTTCTACCTGCTGGATTAGTTCGCCCACTTGTTGCACATTCCACTGACTAGACTAAAATGTTACCTGCTCATGTAGTTATCTAGCCAGCTCCAAGAATCTTGTAAGCAGTCATGTTTTGTCTGAAGCTCTCTATATCACCCCACACTTTACAAATGAAGCCTGGAAGGTTTGTATTTAATGTTTATTATTGTGTAGTTTACCATCTGCATTCAATACATTATCTTCCTCGTGACATACTTTCGCTGAGCTAAATATCTTATGTAAGTCAGTGAGCATAGGTGCTGATTTGTGCATCCTTTTTATCCATTAAACACGAACACACTAAAGATTGTATATTTCATTCAAAAAGCCATTTTGCATAGGATGATGTTCCCCATTCAGCTGCGTTACCAAACATACAAGTGAGTGTCTCACGGGCATCTGACTGTTCACGACTAGCTGAAAACTCAGTCAGGACTGTAAATGTTTAGTTGGAATCAACATTTGTATGACACTTTTGCAACAAATTTAAAAGTATTGAAGTTTTAAATGCGGAAAGTGGTGCAACAGAAAATTTTAACATTCCTGCAACCATTTTTGACATTTTTATTTTGTGTTTCAGTTTGTTTACAACGTACCCAAATTATCTTTTTAATTCTGTCACATGCCCCTTTAACCCTTTGTCACATTTCTCATACTTTCTGATTCAGGTACAGTGGGATACAAACGTTTAGACAGCCTTGTTAAACCTTTGATGAATGATTTTCAAGAAAAACACCTGCTACCTACAGTAAAACATTGTGGTGGTTCCATCATGCTGTGGGCTGTGTGACCAGTGCAGGGACTGGGATTCTTGTTAAAGTTGAGGGACGCATGGATTCCACTCAATATC